TGTACTATTAAATGGGCAGTGCGTATAAAGGAAACTGGACTTCAGTGTCGCATGGACTAGTGATTGTCATTGAACAGTTTTGGTCTTTGTTCCTCAGTTCTCTCATGTCCACTATGAGAATGGAAATAGCCACTTCGTTCAGTCTTAACATGTAACTTTCTGTGTGTGTGCCGCCCTCTGCTGGCCCCGTGCAGATGCTGCATGGACAGGGTTGCTGTGGACAAGATCACTGCTACCCTTCATTGTGTGGTCACAGTGCTGAGAGTGATTCTGGCCACACGTAATCGAGCATTGACTGCATGCCAGGCCCCGTATTGTCCTTGAGCAGGGCTGAGGGTGGAGGGTGCTTGTGAGAGGCATAGGGGCTAAAGTAAGTTGGGCCCAGGTGTACATCTCAACTCTGCTTCAGTTTCCACATCTGTCGTCAGGCTTGTCCAATCCCTCACTTCACAAGGTGATCTGCCTCAGAGAGAGGCCCCCTTTACCTCTAAAGGCTTACAGTTGTGTGCTTTACCACCAGAGGGCAGCACTGGAAGGTGTGACAAGCCTTCCTGGTAGAGGGACCAAGTGCACTGAGGGAGCCGGGTGGCAGAGCTGGGCAGTTACTTGAAAGGTGGCACCACTCTCTGTACAGGAGATTGGGCGTATCTCTATCGAGATGAATGGGACCCTGGAGGACCAGCTGAGCCACCTGAAGCAGTACGAACGCAGCATTGTGGACTACAAACCCAACCAGGACCGGCTGGAGCAGCAGCACCAACTCATTCAGGAGGCCCTCATCTTCGACAACAAGCACACCAACTATACCATGGAGGTATGGTGCACGCGTGTGATGCACTGGACTGCCAGCTCCAGAAATTCTTACGTCCCTGTAGAAGCTGAAACACCTGGGCTATTTTCTTCACCCCCCTATTTCACATCATTCAAAACTGTCTGAGAAAGATGCCATATGTTTGCACATTTTGTCAAACCAGCAGTTTCCTTGCTGCCATCCCATCATGCAGCCAACTTGGCCTGTCCACCCAGCACATGTGGACTCACAAAATCTGGCTGCTTGGGTGTACGTATTTGGCAGCCTGGTTGATACTACTGTTAGCTTGAAACTTTCAGTGGTGAGGATGTTTACACCGTGCAGTTAGATGCTGGCCACAATATCTGGGGGCGGGGGAGGGGGGGGGTGTCAGTCAATGAAATGTGCGCTGTAGTGACATCAATTCTGCTCTAAGTCAAGGGTTCCTCAGCTTTGTTCCCTGTGTAAGAGACAGGAAATGCACTAGAGAGTTTGGGGCTGGGAAGAGACGGGCCACCCCCAGCTGTGGTTTTGGGGTGCCCAGGCTGCTAGGCCCAGACCAGCAAGCTGCCATGCCCTTTTCCCTCCCAGCACATCCGAGTGGGCTGGGAACAGCTGCTCACCACCATTGCGCGCACCATCAATGAGGTGGAGAACCAGATCCTTACCCGAGACGCCAAAGGCATCAGCCAGGAGCAGATGCAAGAGTTCCGGGCATCCTTCAATCACTTTGACAAGGTGAGCAGCTCCACTGCCCCTGGTGTCTGCCCTCCTCATGTCACCAGTTCCTCCTGCCCCCTCTGTATTTGCGTCTTTCCATCCATTCATATTCCACGGGCTGAGTAACAGCCACACCTCACAGGGGCCTGCTGCCCGGACCTGGCCCCTGATGGGGTACAAAGGTGCCAGTTCAAAGAGACCCCTAGCACAGCTGCCTTCAGTGACACAGAGAGGCCCCCTGGCCCTGCCTAGCCTGCGAAGACTCTAGGACAAATTAAGCCCCAGCGCAGCCAAGACTCAAAACCTGGTGCCTAAAGGTGCCATCCAGTCTGGCAGCTCTAGATCTGTGTTGCAGAGGTCTTTTTACAGGCCCTGAGCTAGCCCATTTTACAAACCACTTTGCTGGCCAGAGGGTCAGCTGGCCTTTCCTGTGAGTGATCTCAGCAGGATGCAACCCCCAGTGTGAGGCAAGACCTCGCCTCAGCTCCACAAGCCCTGGGGCTCCACCCTTATCTACGACCATGCCCAGAGAGGTGATCTCTCCTGCCCTCCCAGGCAAAGGCAGATGACGGGCTCCTTCACCCATCCTGGCCATCACATTGTCCATGTCACCCTCTAACTATGTGTTTCCCTCCCCTATGTGTCCCCCTTCCCTGGTCTCTGCATGTGGCCCTGGCCCCCTCCCTGCCGTTCTCCGCTGGCTGGGCCCGCACACCACCCTCCCGCACACCTTCACTGGGATGCCCTGGCAGGACCATGGTGGGGCGCTGGGGCCCGAGGAGTTCAAGGCCTGTCTCATCAGCCTGGGCTACGACGTGGAGAATGACCGGCAGGTACAAGCACCCCAGGGCCCCAGCAGACGTGGCATTAATTACTCTTCTCTTTCTCTCTTCTTCTGTCTTTCTCTCCCACTCTCTCACCATTCCATCCCTTGTCATTGTATGTCCCATGTTACCGGCTTTCTTGGCCTCCTCCTTTCCCCTGTGTTGTGTCTCTTTGGACACCTCTTCCTTACCTGGTCTCTTGGGGCCTCCTCTGTTTTCCTGGTTCCTGACACTGCCCTTATCCCTCCTGTGCACATGGGCGGGTTCCTCTGGCCCTGCCTTCTGCTGCCCGCGTCCTTGGAGCAGAAGCAGACAGGCAGCATGGACGCCGATGACTTCAGGGCTCTGCTTATCTCCACAGGATACAGCCTGGTATGCTGTCCCTGCCTCCTCCACCTCGCCGCCACTCCTCCTGCCACCCCCTCTGCCTGCAGTGTCTCTTTGTCCTTGGGGACAGTTCTCAGGGACACTCTTGCCAAGAGGCATAACTTGACCCCTTCCTCCTCTTCTGCACCTGCTGGGCTGGGGTCCCTCTGGCAGCTCCCTGTGCCCACCTCCTTTCCTAGATCTCTAGAGGCTAGTCCTTCCACCTCTCCCCTTTCTTTCTCTCTCTCTCTTCTCTGCTCTCCAGAACTAACTCTGGAGTCTAGGGCTCAGGAGCTGACCTTTCTGGTCCACACCCAACTCCCCTCTTCTCAAGAGGACTTTGTGGGAGATGGGGGGCTGCCGAAGGGGCATTTGGCCCAGAAGCCGGGACAGGCTGGGCCAGCTGATGGGCATGTACACTGCGGTTGGGTCTGCTCTGCTGGGCCTGCTGCCCTGCTCCATGAACCTACTGATGTGTGTTCCTTTCTGCCCCACTGCCATCCCCAGGGCGACGCCGAGTTCAACCGCATCATGAGTGTGGTTGACCCCAACCATAGCGGCCTTGTGACCTTCCAAGCGTTCATTGACTTTATGTCCAGAGAGACCACAGACACAGACACTGCTGACCAAGTCATTGCCTCCTTCAAGGTCCTAGCCGGGGACAAGGTAAGCGAAAGCTCTGGGGTAATGGGGAAGGGGTCTTCCAAACAAAAATCAGTCAGGACTGGGTGGGATCAGGGATGATTGTGCAGAACCTCACAGCTTGACCCTGCCTCCCCTAGAATTTCATCACAGCTGAGGAGCTGCGGCGAGAGCTGCCCTCTGACCAGGCTGAGTACTGCATTGCTCGCATGGCGCCCTACCAGGGCCCCGACGCTGTGCCTGGCGCCCTCGACTACAAGTCTTTCTCCACAGCCCTGTACGGCGAGAGTGACCTGTGAGGACCCACCAGAGAAACCCTGATCAGATTCCCTCCTCATGGCCTCCAGGAGGGGCTGGGGGAGTCCCTTGCCCCTGCTCCCTGTGAGGGGGCCTCCATAGCCGTCACTTCTGACTCTGTATCTATGCAAAGCACTCTCTGCAGTCCTTTCTGGGGGGGGGGGGGTGTCAGGGAGGGGCTGGGGCAGGCTCTCTCCTCTCTCGGTTGTGGCCAGAAGATTTTTCTCTCCCCCCGTAGGGGTCATGGAGACGTGGGGTCAAGGCTTCTGGCCTGGTAAATACACATAATATGATTTTGTTGTTTTGGTTATTTTTTTTAAGACTAAATGGAGGGGAATTTGGGTCCCACATCAGATGGGACCCCTCATGCCCTGAGGATACTTCTCCACACCCACGACCCCCTCTGCCCAGAGGTCCCTCCAAGGCCCCTCACCTCTAGGCCAAAGCCCGATGTGCCTTGTCCAGGAACCCAAGCAGAGAGGGTGCCCACAGGAGAGGGTCCCCTACCCAGCTCCCTAGTCCTCTTTGGCCTTCCCCCAACCATGTGACCACCAGGAGGTGGGCACTATGCCAGGGGCCCTGCAAGTATGCCCACCCCTCGCCAGCCCTGTTTCTCTTACCCAGATTTGCCTCTCTTTCAGATTTTCTAAGGACCAAAAAAAAAAAATTAAAAAAAAACAAACACCACTTTTCAGAGAATTACTATTTACTTTATTAACTTACGGACTTATTATATAAATATATATTCACCTAGCAACATATCTGACATCTCTTGCTCCTGTAATGAAGATATAGCTGATCTACTCCCTTGCTGGCCCTGCCTGAGTCCCCCGCTGGTGGCTGTCAGGTGCTGCCTCTGCGTCCTCAGGCACAGGGTGGTCAGTGGCCTGGCTGCCTCTTAGCTGATCGTTTTGTTCCTTTTGGCCCCCGCCCCCCCAACCTTTTTTTTTTTTTTTTTTTTTTTAGTTTATTTGGATTGATTTTTTTCTCTCGGTTTCTGGATAAACCACTCTTCTGGGGACAGGAAAATAAAACGTAATATTTTCAAGGATTCCTAAATGTCCTCTCTTTCTCTGTCGCCTTCCCTGTGTCCCCCTTCTCAGCAGGCTCCACTCTGGGTTCTGAGAGTGTTGGACTGATGGAGTCTGCGTGGCCCAGTACAGGGTACAGGCAGGCTGCCACGGCGTGGGCCATCCCACCAATATGGCTGAAGGGTCCAGACTCTGAACCCTCAACATCTGAGCCTCAGACTGGGCCCAGGCCAGGAGATGCAAGGGAGTGGTGCTGGCCTCAGGCTTTCCCTGTGGAGGCTGTGGACAGGGAGGTAGGCCTCCAGCCAGGGGGTGCTTGTTTCTGGGGTCCTAGGAGAAGGTGGCCACCTCCATCCACTGAGAGAGAGAGGACAAAGTTTGAGGAAGGGTCTCCCCACGTCATCCACCTCCCCAGCAGCCCTGGCTCACCTGTCTGTGGGTCAGGCACACGACTCCCTCGCCCCCATCCAGGTACTGGCTACAGTGGTCTATGCAGAAAGCGAGAGATCAGCTCCAGCCTGGGCTCTGGCCCACCCACTCCCAGGCGGGCACTCACGGAAAATGCTAGTGAGCCGGGCCATGCAAGACACGAAGCGCTCGAAGTCCACTTGCAGGCGGCTGTCCCGGTAGCGGCTAGTGAGGATCTGGGTCAGCTGGTTGTTCAGATGGAAGCCTGTAGGGTGGCCCTATGAGCTCACCTCAGTCTGGCACTCCCAGCTCCCCAAGAAAAACACGGGGCAGGGCCTGCTTCTTCTTCATCTGGGCCTAGGTCCATTTCAGCCCATCTTTGTGAACACAAGCAACTCGCTTCACTTTTTTGGGCCTCAGTATCCACATCCGAAAAGCAAGGACGATGACAGCCCAACTCTAGAGAGTTGTGCGAAGGTTCAGTAGACTAAGGACAGTACTGGTGTAAAAGGGCTGTCAGTATTCTCCCTTCAGATTCTGTACGACTTACCCCTTGCCTGGTGGGCACTGGAGAAAGTTTTGTGCATTCAAACCTTTTGTATTGGGTTTTGGGGGTTGTGTTGTGCTTTATTATTTATTTATTTATTTATTTTTTTTTTTTTTATTTTTTTTTTGCAGGTAGGCAGTTCAGATCCACCAGCTGCTCTGAGGAGGGGGGAGGTAGGCAGCCTCCTACTGTGTGGCTTTGAAAACTTTTGGGGTCAACTGTGAGTCACTTCTCGCTCACCAGTACATAACAACAACAAAGCACATGGAAGGGGGTTGCTTATCTTCTGATGAGCTGCTGGTGAAGTCACAACTCTTGCCTTTGCATTGGCAGTGCCAGTCTTTACTCAATAGGCCCACAGAGACCCTTTGAAATCTCAGTGTTATTGTGTGCCATCCAGTCCTACAGCTGACCCTCCAGTGGGTTTTCAGAGGTAGTACATCACATGGGAGGAGACTGCCCCCATCTTTCTCCAGCAGAGCAGCTGCTGGAATTGAACCACCTGCTTGGGGATTATAGTGCAGCTGCGTACTGCTCAGCCACCCCTGAAATCTCAAAAACCTTAGTGGTCCTTGAATGTTACAGATGACCTTTGAGGTTCCCAGTCCCATACACTCAGATAAATGCAGCACAGTTCAAGTTCACCCAGCAGCTGCATGGGAGAAAGGACTTACCACCTAGAAATCCCTACGGGGCAGTTCTCTTGTCATAGGGGGTGACTGTGAGCCAGAATGGACTGCATTGCAGTGAGAACACTGAGGGCCATTACTTTCTCTGCCTTGTTCTGGCAGCACTCAGGAGGTCCGGGGGCCTATTTAGGCCACTTGCCCTCTCTACCTCATTTGTTCTTGATACTTTGGTAGGGGGATGCTGTATCTGTGGGAGAGCCCAGCCAGATAAGGTGGGAGGCCTCAGCTGTTCCTTTCATGGAAATGGACCAATCGGGGCTTGTGTGTTCTGTGCAGCCTGGTGTGGGGGTCCTTTCTGGGGTCTACAGTGCTCCTGAGACCACTCACTAAGGTTCCCAGGCTCATTGTTGCTCTCTGCCCGCCCCTCCCTGCATCCACCCCCTCTCTAACTTTCCCCTTGATCCTCTGGGACTCCACTGTTCATGATAACTCTTCTGCACAGAGCACTCTGTTCCTCTCTGGGCCTGGATCTCTATTCCTCATGCACCCCTCCTCCAGCAAGCCCTCTGGGATCTTCTCTCCCCTCTAGGTTCCTCAGTCCCCCTGCACCACCTCCACTACCCCAGCCTGACTTAGCAATCAGTTGGCCTTGCCAGCCTCTGGGCTGAGATCATGTAAACTTAGAGAAGGGCTCTGGTTACCACTGAAGCCCATCTTGGCTGAGGGCAGAGTAGTTGCTTGGAATGTACAGAGCAAAGAATGACGTCTCTGCCCCTTCAGGAGTCCTGCCCTATGGCCTCCTTCAGGGTCACCGAGTCCCTGCCAGCAAGCTAAGCCACACAGCCATGTCCACACCTGCTGCTTTCAGCGCCAGCCGCAGCTCATAGGAGTTCATGGTTCCTGAGGTGTCCTCGTCAAACTTGTTGAATGTGGCCTAAGCAGGGAGGTGGGAATTAGTGCTGCCTTCAAGCCTCCGAGGACCCTGAAGAACTGAACATGATCCTCAGGCCAGCCTGTCTGGCGAGTCCCTTCCTATCTATGCCCTGAGTAAGCAGTTCTAGCCACTTAGTTGTGTTTTTCAGTCTAAAAAAGTACACCAGGCCAGGGTCTGTGCCAGAGCCCCCAGCAGGGACTGCAGAGGGATGCCCTAGCCAGGTGGTCCTGTCCCCTCTGTCCTCTGGGCCCCCATATCCTCTTAGAGGTTCCACTCCCTCCACAGGAAGCAGCCCCATGGCTGCCCCCACCTCACCTGCCACTGAAGGAGGCGACCCCAGAGCTGCTGGAAGTGTGGCAGGGCCAGGCTTCGCCCGTGCTAGGGAGAGACCTCCTGGTTAAGCTCAGTGTCCCTGGAAGGGAAGCAAAGTTCCTCCCCCACCGGCCCAGGCATTGTCCCCACATACCCCGAAACACTGCAGCAGCTGCTCACAGGTTCTGAGCCCAATTTCTCCCGGGGTCTGGGCGTGAGCCCTGGCTGTAGGGGAAAAGGCTAACACATGGGCAATTCCTATAAGCTGGCCAGTGTTTGAAGCCAGCCACCTTTGAAGGCATTAACTAGAAAACTCATTGCTGTCTAGTTGGAATTGACTCATAGCCAAACATCCAGTGGGTCTTCAGAGGCCATAAATTGCACAGTGGGAGACTATATCCTTTACCAAGGTGCTGATGGAGGATTTGAACCTCGAGAGTGGTGTTGCCTGGGCTAACAGTGCGTCTACCTGTGGACATTGCCACCAGAACTCCACTTAGCAGTTCAAAAGGGGGCCTCATTACTCTCTGGTCTGTAGGGAGTTTACGCTGTTATCCCAAAGGTATGGGGCCTCCTGGTCATTCAAATCCACCAGCTGTTCCAAGGAAAAAGATGGGAGTCTCCTGTGCATTTTCAGCCTCTGAAAACCCAATGAGGTGTTAGCTCTGAGACAGTTCTGCTTAAGCAGCAATGAGTGGAAGTTTTATAGATGGGGCAAACAAAGCACAGAGCACTTAGCTGATTGCTGGTAACAAAACTGGAATGCAAACTTGGTGGTTCAGAGTCAGCTCATCACAACTACAATCCCAGCCTCTCAGAGGAAGGGGAGCTGTGACCCTGGACACAGGTCCTATCACGGCACCAAGGGGTCCACTTATGCTGGCAGGGACTGGGGCTGAAACACACTCTACACACACAACTCACCAGGCTCCAGGGCGATGCTTAATAAAGTCTGTAGTTGGGAGGCACCGAGCTCTTCCTTCTGGTCAGGGAGAGGTGATTTGGGGACCACTCGCAAAGTGCTCTGGGTTTGCCTTCTGCTTCAGAACTCTTAGAGCCTGCCCCAACCCCCTATCTCCAGAAGGTGGCAGCTGCCTCCATGGTGGGGGGAGGTTAGAGAGAGGAGATCTCAGCCCGGGAAGGGGCCGGGATAGCACAAGAGGGGACCTAGCAAGGCAAGGTGCAGACTGTGTGAGGCCTGGAGGCAGGGAAGATGGTCATAGGAGGAATTAAAGCAAAACAGGTGACTTAAAATGGAGGGGAGAGGGTCTGGTGGCTTAGTCCATTAAGGAGTTGTGCTGCTCATCCAGAGGTGGCACGTCTGACATTTCGAATCCACCAACAGCTCCATGGGGGGGGGGGGATGGGTAGTCTCTTCCTGTGTGATTTACAGCCTCCTCAAACCCAAGGTCAGTTAAGAGTCCGTTTCCATTGAATCCCAGTGAGTTTAAGACAGGAGTGACGGTGCATTAGATGTTGCACTGCTAACCAAAATGTCGGGGTTCCAATCTACGAGCTGCCCTGAGAGAAAGCTGGATAGTGTCCCTTAAAAATTTGCAGCCCTGGAAACCAGATGGAAGGTGGATATGAATCGGAATCGACTCCACCTCTGGGATTTTAGAACAGGAAAGGCCAATCTGTTTAGTTCAGCCTGGCTGCCCCCTCACCTCTCCTGCCAGCTCCTGAAACAGCTGCTCCAGACCTCGCTCGAGAGGTGCATAAGGGACCTGGGGAGCGGGGAGGCTGTTTAGTTCTGACCCAGGGGGTCTTGCTCGCAATTGGCCCCTCTCCCTGCCCCCTGAGGCCCTCACCATGAGGGCCTGCAGGTCAGCGCTGATATTGTCATCGATCTCCCTGCAAATGACAGGCAGAGATAAAGGGGCTTTGAGGCGGGGAAAGTCTGCAGGTCGAGGGTATTGGGGGGTCGGAATGAGGTGAGGGGAAGTCTACAAGGTCCGGGCGGGGTGGAGGAGGGCTACACGAGGGTAACCTATGGGGGGCTCACACGGCGGTGTGCCGGCGCTCGGAGAAGATGCGCAGGGTGAAGTCGGACTCGTCGCCAACGTGCGCGGCGCTGGGCACCACCAGGTAGTGGCCGGGCCGCAGGCGGCAGCGGCGGCTCACATCGCGGCGCGCGCTGAAGGCAGAGCGGTCGGCGCGCAGTAGGCGGGGCAGGAGCTCGCGGCTCCGCGGGGAGTCCCAGATGCCCAGCAGCTGAGGGGGGGGGGCAGGAGGGGCGCACCGGGGCATGACCCACCCCTCAGCTCACTCGAGCCCAACCCGCCCTCGCACGGCAGCCCTCCTAAACCCACCCCATTCACCTAGCACCCAAGCTTGACCCAGAGCCCCAAGCCTGCCTCCTTAACCCTGGACTATCCCCCACTTCTGCCGCCCACCAGCTCAGGGTGTCCACTCCTGGGGCTACTTCAGCCTCTGGGAGGAGGGGTCCCATCAGAAACCCACCTCCTCTGGAATCTGTGAGAAGGAAAGGGAATGAGAGTTGACGGAGACACCCATCACAGTCCCCTCTCTGCCCCCTACACCCAACTGCCCAGAGTAACTGCCCACACTTGTCACACCCTCTCCCTCCTTTTTCCTCCTTTTTCAGTTCTTGTTCCCAGTCCCTAACCCAGGTCCTCTGACCCTTCCCACCAGCCTCCATGCTCTCAATTCTTTCTCAATCCCTGAGACTTCTCTCCCAGCCCTCCCTCCTCCCCCCCACCCCGTGATTCCTTGGATCTCTTTCCCTTCTTTAACCATCAGTGTCCTCCTGAACTCTGTACTCTCATTTGGTTTCCTGCCTTTCCTGGGTTTGACACTTGGGCCTTGGCACCTGCCCTCACCTGGAACACATGGAAGCCCACGGTGAGGTAGGTGAGGCCTTGTGCCCTTAGACGTCGCCGGTTGCGCTGGATAAGCGACAGCAGGACGGTGCACTTGGGGATGGAGCCCCCTTGTGCCAGGCCCTGGGCCCCAGCGGCCCCCCAGCCTCCCCAGGGCCCCTCTTCGTCATCTTCCTCCTCATCAGGCTCCAGCAGTGTCAGCCGGAACTGAGGGTTGGTCCAGAAGGTTTCTAGTTGGGGAGAAGGAAATGGGGCTTCCTGACCAGCCATAGTCCCCCTCTGTTCCTTGCTTGCTTCAAGGGATTTACCCCCAGGCCTTACCGGCGCCAGGCAGGCTTCCACCAGAGTTAAATCCTCGAACCCATCGGCCTTGAAAGGTGTGGATGTGCCAGCCACCCCCAGCCGGACTGGGGCCCAGACACTCCGGGCTCAGTGAGCAGATCTGGACGGTGTTGAAGTGGCGGAGGAAGTCCTGTAGCTCCATCCTAGAAGCAGCCGGTGGTCAGACCTGCTGAGCACATCTCTGGACCCCCAATATTGTCAAATACCTTTGAGCCTTCCTTAAATATCCCACTGTATCCAGAAAGAGATTATTGCCATTGATTTGGAACTGACTCATAGCTGAACCTCAAGTGGCTTTTTGGAGGTTTTAAATAGGACAGGAGGATATTGTCTGTTTTGCTCCCTCAGAGCAGCTGTTAGACTTGAACCACTCGCCTTTGGGTTAACAGTGCAACTCTTGATCTACTAGGCCACAAGAACTCCCTTTTCTCCAGAAGTGGCTCCTGAATCACTGAGCTCTCCAACTCTTAATCTCTCTAGTTTCTCAGAAATGCCTACAGACTGCCAAGATCCATAAACGTCCCCCAGAACCTTGCCAAATTGCCTTCAACCTCCAAATAACAAGATATTCAGGCTTTCAAATTATCAACAGCTATCTCTGACCCTTCAGTGTTGCCAGGTCTAAAGAAGTTCCCCAGAACACTGCTGAAAACTCACTGCTGTCAAGCCAGGTCGAATTTGTAGTGATTCTCCCTCAGGTTTCTGAGGTTGTGAACTGTTAACAGGAGGACTTTGCCCATCTTTTCTCAAGGAGTGACTGCTGGATTTGAGCCATTAGATATGAGGCTTTTGGATTAACAGCAAAACAAGATACAGTCTGTGTGACCCAGAACTCCTTAAACATCACTAAACCTGCTCAGGGGAGCTCTGGGAGCACAGTGGATAATGCATTGTGCTGTCAAAGACAGTCTGAATCCATCAGCCGCTCCGAGGGTGAATGATGGACAGATTCCCCCCCGTACAGTTTACGGCCTCCAAAACCCTGCTGGAGGGTCAGCTGTGAGTCAGTTCTGACTACAGAACATAACAAAAACAAACGTCCCTTAGTTGTCCTGACTCCCTTAAACTTCTAGATCTCAAACCAAAAGGTAGGCAATTCTCTGCACGAGAAAGATGTGGCAGTCTGATTCTGCTAATGATTACAGTTTAGGAAACGATGAGGACAGTTCTACCCTGTTCTAGAGGAAGGGGCAGTACAAGTCAGGTAATCTTTATAGAAATGGGCTGCCAGGCCTTTCTTTCGCTGCACCACTGTTGATGATTTTTCAAATATCAGTCATTCTCTTTTGACTGCCCAGATTACCACTGCTAGTGATAATATGGTCAGTACCTCCCTGTAAGGACACATGATCCTGACCATATCCCATGTCCCTCTTATGGTACTCAGCCCTTCCCGAGGTGAAGCTGAGGCCCTCCCAACTCACCAGAACTCGCCATCCTCCTTTTTCACCATCAGAGCTTCTCGCCACTGGAAGGGGATGGCATCCCAACGTGGACAGCTAGGGAGACGTGGATGTGAGCAGAGGGCGGGAGAGCCAGGTTCCCCCCCCCCCAGAAGTCCCACCCCACCTGTCACTCCAGGCCCCGGTCCACTCCACACGGCCCCAAGGGTTCCGCAGCCGCAGCAGTCGCACCTTGGTGAAGCCCAAGGACACCTGATGTAGACAGAGGGTCAGTGAAGGTGGCCCCAGATGACCCACCTTGCCCCCCCCCCCCCGGAAGGAATCCTCACCTTCTGTGTGCCTGTGATTGAGTATGCATGTCCCTTCACCAGCCCGTCGTCCGTTCGGTATTCTCCTCGGTCGCTCTGGATGAAGAAGACAGGCCAAGGGCGGGGGGATGGATGAAGAGTGGCTGTTCCTCTCTGCTTCCCCACCCCTGCCACCAAAACACCCATAGGGATGACATGGGTTTCAGGGAGGGTGTCAGGGTTGATGAATGAAAGTGTGAGAGGAAGGAGTCAGAGATAAGACAAGAAATAGGAAGACAAAAAAGAGACATGGAGACGTGGCGGAACAGAGAGAAAGAACAAAGAGAATTAGGCTAACGAATGAGGTCAACTCAGTGGACGAATGACTGAGCCCATGAAAAGCAATCCCGGGACTTGGGCTAAGATTTTCAAAAAGAAACTATTTTTTGTTTTGTTTTCAAATCCTTGGTGATAGTAGATACTTGCAGCTGTGAGGGGGCCTTGTGCCCATGAGGGAAAAGCTTGCCTAAGAGCTAAGATTAGAAAAACGTGTGATGACATCCTCCGAGCACCTGGATCCAGCTGTGCTTGAAGCCAGCCCTTTTATAAGAGCCAGGACCTTTCTGTGTGACTTTGCTCCAGTTGGATATGTGAGCTAGAGCAAACCATCAGCATTGCTGAGGAGAGGGACACAGCACCCCACCGCCCCTTGGCAGTCCTGGTGGAGGTTCACACAGAAATCTGATTCTCACCAGGGCAGTGGCCCCTACAAGGGACTCCTTGGCCAGGGCATGGCGCAGGACGGAGAAGAGGCCTGGGATGTTTTCCCTCAGGTAGAGCACCTCGCCCACTCCGCCAGTGAAGTCCACAAACGCCTCGTTCATGTGGCCTCCACGCATTACCTCATAGGAGCCGTGGAGCCTGTTGGAAGGGGGTGTGGATGTGGATGAAGGTCTGAAGCATGTGTGTCTCAGGTCACCTTATGAGGTCTTAGTGGCCCCTAGCTAGGTCCTTCCGGGACCACTCCTAGATTTGTGGTTTTCTGGAGTCAGGACTGGGATGTGTTATGGAAGCACTTGGAAACATTGTCTCTGATACCCCAGGTGATTTGGAGGTCATCAGAGAGCTAAGCCTGTGTATTCTGGGGGATGTCTGTCATTTTGTGTCCCTGGGACATGTTTGATCTGATAGATAATTCCTCTGGGGACTCTTCCAGGATCCCATAGCCAAAGGATGGACAGTTACAAAGATCTGAGGCTCCTAGACATGATATGATATTTTGGGGAAGCCAAGATTACAGATCCCCAGAAGGACAAATTTTAGATGTGGTGAATTCTGGGAATGTGAAACGTGGCTTCTGGGCCCTTAAGAGCCATGGAGTGTATGTATGTGTGTGCGTGTGTCTACGGGTGTGTGGTAGGAGGTGTTGATGGTGGGAGGTGTTTAAGATTTGACGTGTCTTTGGAACTGAAGTTATTTTGAGTTCCTGGAAAGTATGACATTTGGGATCGTTGAAAGGTATTTGGAGCCATTTCTAGAGTGTTCCAGAAGTTGAAGTGGGTTCTAGAGGTCCTGAGATCTCAGGGCCCAGCTTGTCCTGCTGATAGGACATGGGGTTCCAGGGGCTCCTCACTTGGCGTAGGCCTTCTCCAGCAGTGGGGCCCAGAACTCGTTCCTCTGTTCTGAGCGTACAAACATCAGCTTTCCCTCACGTACAGGCAGCCTGTCGTCCACCACAACGTCCACCCAGTGGCCAAACTGCCAGAGCTGGTGGGGAAAGTGACAGTTTAGGCCCTGGCTCAGATTCTGGCTCCCACTCCCACCTGACCCTCAGGCTCTGCCCCCTGACCCTCTTGTACCCACCCTAGAGCCCAGGAATTACAACCTGTCAGCTCTATAACCGATGTCACCATGGAGCAGACTGAGGTCCAGGCCTACCTGGAAGTGGAAGACCCCTGCATAGCCCTCCTGGAAGCCCTGTCCAGGGGGCACCACCCGATACAAGAGGCGTGGGTGCAGAGTGAGGGAGGCAGCAGCCGCAAGAAACCAGCAGTTACCTGGGGGGCAAACAGGAGGCGAGAGAGAGAGACTGAGGGGCAGGGACAGGGGAACTGAGTAGTTGGGGGCCATGTAGAGAGAGGTGGACCAACAGGAAGTGAATGGAGAAGCCAGGATGGGGACCAGGGGACACAGAGGATGGGAGACCTGGGGGCAGAAAGGAGGGGGGACCATGAAGAATGGGAGTGAGAGGCAAAGAGCAGTGGGGACAAAGGGGCAGAGAGGAAGGAAGAAGAGGGGCAGAGAAGAGTGGGGATTGGGGGACAGAGAGGAAGTGGCACTGAGGGACAGAGAGGAGAGGGACTGAGGGGCAAAGAAGAGGGGGCTGAGGGACAGAGAGGAGGGGGTTGAGGGGCAGAGAGGAGGGGGAACTGGGTTAAAGAAGAGGGGATTGAGGGGCAGAAAGGAGGGGTGCTGAAGGACAGAGGGGAGGGGGGCTGAGGAACAGAGGTGGGGGCTGAAGGAAAAAGGGGAGGGGGCCTGAGGGACAGAGGGGAAGAGACTGAGGGACAGAGGGGAGGGGGGCTGAGAAACAGAGGGGAGGGGTGCTGAGGGACAGAGAGGATGGCAGATCAAGGAGCAGAAGGCCTGAGGATTCAAGATGGCTTCAGGAGTCTCACCCAAGCTCCCCTGACACACATCTGTCCGACTCATGTCCTCACAGATGAACTGGGGCTCACTGCAGAATTCCTGGGGGTGACAGGGTAGGCTTCAGCCCAGGATAGGAAGGGCAGGAGCCGCCAGGAGGACAGACACCGGGCCCAGCTTGCCCTCCATTGCTCTGTAAAATGAAGGACTCCCAGCTGTGGAAGGCCTTGTAAAGCCATGGCTGCTTCCCTGGCCTCCCGGGCATGGCGTGGCTGAACCTCCAAGCCAGTTCCACAGACTGGGAGTTCCAGCTCCTCCTTCCTCTGACTGTGGCGTCTGGACACCCAGACCTACCTCCTTCAGATCCTCCAGGAGACCAGACCTCCCCTCTGGAAGTCTGGTACTCTAAGTCCTCCTCCCTCAGACCCAGAAGTTCAGATCTCAGCCTCCTCATTCCTTACACCCCAGACTCTAGGTCCCTGAACCTCCTCCTCCTTTGGACCCTGGTCCCCAGCCCCCTCCTCCTGCAAACCCTGGACCCCTGCCTCCTCCTCCCTCAGCCCCACGAGTCCAGGTCCCCATCTCCCTCCTCTTTCAGACACAGGAGTCCTAGTCCCAGTCCCTTCCTCCTTCAGACCCTGACCCCAAGCCCTCTCCTCCCTGAGACCCAGGAAGTTCAGAGCTCCAGCCCCCTCCTCCCTCAGACCGGGCATCCTGGCCCCCAATCACACTTTACATGGGGCCTCATCCATTGCACCCCTTTGGCTTTCTCAGAGTGTGGACCAAGCTTGTCATAGCCAAGGGCATCCGGTCCAGCAGGAAAGTAGGGGTCTCGGAACAGGATCCCTGCGTTGAGGGAGGCTGCCTGGATTGCCTCAAATCTCTGGCCCCGGAAGAGCTTTGGGCCCCCAACCCCAGCCTCAGGCTCCTCGTCCACCAGCTGGATGGTCACCCTCCTGTCACCACACGCCATCTGTCCCTCTGGGCTCTTGGACTGGACCCAGGCCCTTTAACCTCCTGAGTCATGGGGGTGGGGCCTCTGCACCATCTGGTTATGATGGGGGCATCATCCTTGTTAATATTAATTGATGGTTTGAGGTGCCATGGACCAGGGACGCCTATTCAGGGGTTTCCTCCCTGGGGCGTGGGGCCTTCAGTTGTGGCCAGGGTAGTAGGTTAATGGGCTTCAGCAGCAGTAGGAGTGAAGGTGGGCAGAGCTGAAGGAGGACTGGCTCCTGCGGGGGGAGTGCCAAGAAGGAGGTCATTGTGGGGGATGCATCTCTGCTGACTTGTCCCTTTGTGTGAGGCTGGGGGCCGGTATGCGGGCAGAGGAGAGACATGTCTGTCCATGTATTTATCATTTGACAGTTTCTGTCTGTCTGCTGGCGTCTCTTTCTTCCCCCACCCCCTGCACCCATGCAGTCTGTGTCTCTTTTTTTCTTCTCTCCATATGTTAAGGAGCTCTGATGGCCTAGTGAATAAAGAAGTTGCCCTGCTGGAGGCCTGGGAGAAAGATGGGCAGTCTCCTCCTGTGCAATTTACAGCCTCCAAAAACCTGCTAGAGGGTCAGCTATGGGTTGGGTTTGGCACATGATAACCTGTTTGTGTGTGTATAGGTGTTGTCTTTCTCTTTCTGGTTCTCTCAGGACCTGCCTTTCTGTCTCTCTCCATCTTCAGCCCCATCCTTGACGCTCACATGGTCCTCACAGTACCCACAGCAGGATGTGAGCCCCCTCTCGATAAGCCCCCCTGCCTCGTTCCCTCCCCGATAGGCCAGCCTGAGCTAGCAGGGGCTGTTCTTTACCTATCCTGCCCTCGCGGTACTTTCTGCCACCACTGCAGTGGCCACCTGTCTGAAAAACGCTGCCCTCCTAGGTCCAGGGGTATTGGAAACCACAAGAATTTTTCACAAAGGACAGCCAAGTTTTGCCCCTCTACATTTTCCTGAACATGGAGAAAAGGTTGGCTTTGGGCCTATCCTTGAGGAATTCTTCCTGTTTCTTTATCCTAAAACTGGTATTATGGTTCACTGCATACTGGGAATTGGGCTTATCTTGTGTTTCTGTCCCAAGAAATACATATGGTTACACCAGAAACCTTCCTTAGCATAGCAACAGTAGGCTTGCTTATCTATATAGTAAAGAATATCTAGTGTGTCTGTTGGGCAATTTGCTGGTAAACTTAATGAGCAAAAAGTTGCCCAACTAGTTGAGGTGAAACAGACTTCCATGACATACATCCAAGATGCAATTGATTTAGAAAAGACACAGCAGGCACTGGTTCAGAAACACCGTTACCTTTTCAATGTTCAAAGAAGTAACATCGCTATGGCCTTTGAAGTTACTTACTGGCAACAACTGCACATGGTGCACGAGGAGGTAAGAAATCATCTGGACTGTCGTATCTCTGTGCAAAATATGTGTAGGAAGGAACAAAGGCACATAATAAACTGGGTAGGGAAGAATGTGGTGCGGAGCATCTGCACAAAAGGAAAAAGGAGACTATTGCAAGTGCAATCATGATCTGAAGCTTCAAAACAACAGCAACAAGAGCAGAGTTCAACAGGAAAAAAATCAGCAAATGCTGGTGAGGTTGTGGAGAGATTGGAACTCTTGTTCACTGCTGGTGGGAAGGTAAAATAGTGTAACTATGAAAGGCGCTCTGGTGCTTTCGCTAAAATTGGAAATAGAGGTACCATTTGACCCAGCACTTCCACTACTGTGAATATGCCCTAAAGAAATCAGAGCCATGCCTCAAACAGCTGTATGCACACCTATGTTTATTGTTGTTTTATTCACAATAACAGAGGAAGAAGGAACCCGGTGCCCATCAACAAATGAATGGATGGGGAAACTGTGATGCACTCACACATGGAATATTATGAAGCACTGAAAAAAGAATGAACTCATAAAACATTCCACAACATGGGGGAGGCTGGAGAACATTATGCTGAGTGAAATATTCAGTCACAAAAGGACAAATACTGCATAACACCACTCTTATAAAATAGGACAGACATGGGGGATGGGGTGAGAATGGGAAGAGTGGGTAGATAATGAACACTGCATTAGAACAGATGAGGGGAAGAAGTGTCTGAAAGGAATATATGATTAGACATTATGTCTATGACAACAATCTGGAACAAGGGGTGCATTGTGGGGTGGCCTTAGGAAGGTGGAGGGAAGGAGAGAAGAAAATCTGCAACAATGAATAAAAAAAAAACCCTAAAGCTGCTTGCAAAGAAGGCTCAAACACAGCCAGTTTTGTAAATATATCTAGTCCAATTGATACAGCTCCAAACAATTGACTTAACTAAATAGGAAATTGTCTATGTGACAGAATCATTCTTTGTATTATATTGTTGTCTATTCAAGTTACAGTTTTAACTAAAACTGAAGTTTGAGAAATAAAATACACTTATTGGCCAGTAAAATGGTTCGCATTTTTCTGGCTCCGTATTTTGAGATGTTCCGTGATCACATTGAATAAGCAGTTGGTTTTAATGAAATTTAATGCCTAACTAAAGATTATCAAGAATTTGTAGTTAACTTTAACTTCTTGTAATAAAGTGACAACTAAAATAAACCAAAAAACCCCACAAGATGATGACAGGGATGGGGTGAGGCCGGACGGTTCTGCAAGAAGTAAGAGGGCAACGTGTGAGTGCATTGGTCCCTTTCATTTTGGACATCAGATGGGATAAAGTGCCGTCAAGGGAGTAGCAGCCATGTGTGAAACCATTTAAGTGAAGGATCTCAATCTGTCACTGAAGAAGTTAAAGCTTGCACGTCCAACCTGAGCATCTAATAGAAACACAAAGGCCGAGAAGGGACCTGAAAGCAGCAGAGATTGATCTGGAAGAAGGCCAAGGATTGCACATTAGACCTCTTTAAAAAAAATATATGTATTGGTTTGCAGAAAAAAATCAGATATATTGTTTTTCCTTCAAGTACAGTGTTTCACACATTCTTTCATTCACATTTGTGTTTCGTATGCTCATTTCCATACACTGTGATTTATAAAATTAATCACCATTGTTCTATGCCCACTATCGCCCTGTCTTTTTGGGTCCCCACCACGTCTATCCTAATACCTTCACCCCTCCCTCCAGCCACCAAACTCTGCAACTCTGTAATTTCCTGCTCCCTCTCAACTCCCTGGCTCCCTCGCCTTCATCCCTTGGAGTTTTATACATATCTTACTAATTATACTTCTCACATTAGACCTCTTGCTGAACAGGACTTTGTAGACTCTCCCAATCAGTTCACGAAATCTAAAATGATTTCTGACCATCTGTGTGTTTGGCTTCATACAAAATGTGGAGAAAAAGGCTGAAATGCATTTATTCCAATTTATTTTTATGGTAAAATTTTATTTATTCATGTATTTAGATAATATGCATTTGCGTACTACTTCTACATTATTTAGGCTACTATTGATTACACAAAGGGAATTCTGGTGGCCTTTTGGGTAAGGAGTTTGTATTTCCAACCCAAAGGCAGGTATTTCGAACCAGCTGCTAGAGGGAGAAAAAATCTCTCTCTTCTCATGTGTGTTACAACCTATGAAAACCTGCTGGAGGGTCAGCTATGAGTCGGTTCCAATTCAATAACACAGGACGAGAACAACAACAACAACCACTTGATTATGCAAACCTAGCCCATTAATGTATCTCCTACAATAGTAAATTTTCATGTTAAAATTAACATGATTTCTATATAGTTCTTAAACATTTCTACTTGAAATTCTATTAAGTACTGAATTTTCAATTAAACCACATGAAATTCTAAATATAAAAATATTTAGTCTGATGATATGATATTATAATTTAAAGGTATAATCTTAATTTTGCTGGTTGTTTATATCACTGTTATTGTCATTACACTCAGTGATACATAGAAATTATGATTTATGAGTAACATTAGTACAAAAAACATTGCATAAAACTTCAAATCCACCAGCTTCTCTGCGGGAGAAAGATGGATAATCTCTTCCCATGTGATTTACAGCCTCTGAAAACTCACTAGAGGGTCAGCTCACTGCTGCACCTGGTTGAGGCAATTTTTAGGAGGAGCTGTTCCTTGGAAAGGGTTATCATGCTACGAAAGGTGGGGGTTCAGCAGGAAGACCCTCTTAGGTAGATTGACACGGTGACTGCAGTGAGGGGCTCCAGGGTTGATGAGGATGTTGATGAGGATGGCACAGGACAGGACAGGGTTCAGATCGTTGTTCATAGGGTCACTGTGAGTCATACTCAGTGGTACCTACCAAAAATCCATTCTACTCAGATGATTTTGAAGTCATTTCCAGAGATCAGTTATTTTCCCAGTAAATATTTCAATATATTTATCTAAGACAGAAAACCTGACAAAGGAATCCATGGCCTAGCAGAAGAAGCTTGCTACCGTCACTGTCCTCTCTGAATGGGGTCACGATACGAGGATCCTGGATAGAATGAGAGATAAATGGGTAATAAAGAGAAAAACCATAAATATGACCAGGTTTGTTGAAAAAGTCAGATAAGACTATAGTGCTGGGGAGCTCTGGTGGCCTAGTGGCAAGAAGCTGTACTGCAACCCCAAAGGTAGACGGTTCGAATCCACCAGATGCTCTGCCGGAGAAGGAGGAACAATTTCCTCCCGTACCAGTCAGATCTGATTTGACGGTACATGCACAAAAAGATAATTAAAAAAAAATTTAAAAAAACTATAGTGCTCAGTCATCCCTCAGGCCCCCACTGCTTAATTTTTAGACAATCGATCGAACTCAACAGATTTTTCATTAGTTCCAGCTCATAGTGACCCTCCAATGGGTTCCTACGATTGCAAATTGCAATTGGAGGAAACAGCCTGTCTTTCTTCTGTGAAGCTGTTGGTGGATTCAAACCACTGGGTTAGAGCATCATTCCCTACAGACCAGGTTTCTAAAACTCCCTCACCAAATAATACAAGCTTATTGTCATTGAGTTGGAAC